GTCACTAGTGAAATGGTTGTGAAGCAGATAGACAGACTGAAGCAAAATAAGTCGCCGGGTCCTGATGAGGTTTTTCAAGGGTTCTTAAGGAATGCAAAATGGAATTCTGTGAACCATTAACTAATATTTTTAATTTATCTCTTCAAACAGGTGTAGTGTCTGATATGTGGAAGATGGCTAATGTAATTCCTATTTTTAAAACAGGGGACAAGTTGTTACCGTCAAATTACCGCCCAATAAGCCTGACCTCAATTGTAGGCAAATTACTAGAGTCAATTATAGCTGAGATTATAAGAAGCCATCTCGATAAGCATAACTTGATTAAGGATACTCAGCATGGATTCACAAGAGGCCGGTCTTGTCTAAGAAATTTATTAACTTTCTTCAGTAAAGCTTTTGAGGCTGTTGACCACGCTAAAGGAATTTGATTTATTTACATAGATTTTAGTAAGGCTATTGATAGAGTTCCGCACATGACTGTTAAAGAAAGTGGCAGCTATGGCATTGGGGGAAAGTGCTCTGTGGATCGTAGTCATGGTCACTGACAGGAAGCAGAGAGTGTCCATAAATGGGGTTAAATCCGAGTGGGGATCTGTAACAAGTGGCGTTCCACAGGGATCAGTCTTGGGCCCGTTGTTGTTTATAATATATATCAATGATCTTGGTGAGGGAATTACTAGTGATATGAGCAAATTCGCCGATGACACAAACGATAGGTAGATAATTGATTCAAACGTAGATGCTATGGAACTTCAGGAGGATTTAAACAAACTCTATTCTTGTTTAGGTAAGACTCTATTCTTGGTCAGAAAAGTGGCAGATGCAGTTCAATGTGGATAAGTGCAAGGTTCTGAAGCTTGGGAGTGCCCATAACCCTCGTACTTATAAGTTAAATGATGTAGACGTTAGCCATCCAGATTGCGAAAAGGACTTGGGGGTTATGGTGAGCAGCAACCTTAAACCAAGACAGCAATGCCTAAGCGTACGTAATAAGGCAAATAGATTACTGGTATTTATATCAAGAAGTGTGAGCAACAGAAGTCCGGAGGTCATCTGCGCTTATATAACATCATTAGTAAGCCTCACCTAGATAAGGCAGTTAGTTCTGGTCTCCATATTACCGAATGGACATAAATTGTTGAGAACCTTCCGGTAGGATGACTAAATTAAATACATAGCATCGAAATCTTCCTTATGGAAGAAAGATTGAAGACTCTTAAGTTACATTCACCTGATAGACGAAGAATGCGGGCGACCTGTCGAAGTGTATAAGCGGCAGATAGGTATTAACTAAATAGTGATATTATAGGTCTTGAGGATGTCTCTCAAGAGAGAACCGCATAATGGGATTAAAAATTAGATAAGTATTAGATTTAGAAAGGGACCATAGGAAAGTATTGGTTTGGAAATAGGGTAGTTGTTTGAGGGAACGTCTACCTATTTGGGTTATGAGCTGGGACTTGGGTGTTCCAAATTAGGTGGATAAGTACATGAGTGGGAGGGGTTGGATTTGAGTGGGACTTTCAGATAGAGCTTTTTTCTTGGGTAGCTTTGAAAATTGGGTTTGGGGCAAAGTTTTGTTAGTGGAAGAATTGTAAAGGGACCTGCCTAGTTGGGCCAACAGCTGCTGCAGGTTTCTCCTTTCTATGATCAAATGTTTTGTGTAGGTAAGACACATATGCAACAGTTAGGTATTTTTATTCGAAAACGTTCGCCTCCCACATGGCTTCTTCAGTGAGTACAGAAAATTTGATAGAAGCAGAAGTACTTGAAGACGATTTTATCGGGTCCATCACCCTTAAAGTTTTGAGTGGTCAGAATTATGTTTCGGGACAACGGAAAAAAATGCTTTCTCGACTGAGGGACTGACCACCTCAAAATTTTAAAGGGGTTTGATGGACTGATACATCGTCTTCAAGTATCTTTGTTCTATAAACTTTTCTGTACTCGATAAGAAGCCTACTGTGTAGGCGAAACTTTCGAAATAAGATCCCTACTTTTTGCATATGTGTCTTACTAACAATCTGTCGGTTTTACCTTTTCAATGTTATTTTTTATGTTATGTTCTTATGACTGGACAAATTTAGTAAACTAAACAAGGATTGCTTTCACCTTAGACTTTCACACGCCTATTGGGGAGGGTGAAGATTAAACACACACACACACAGGGACCAGGAGCTGTAACTTGACCCCTGCAACCACAACTAGGTGAGTACAGGAATGTTAGGATGTATTTCTTCAGTCACAGATTTGCCAGGAAGTGAAATAATCTGGGAAGTGATGTAGTGGAGGCAGGATCCATACATAGCTTTAAGAAAATGTACGACAGAGCTCATGGAGCAGGGAGAGTGGACCTAGTAACAACCAGTGAAGAGGCGGGGCCGGGAGCTATGAATCGACCCCTTCAACAACAACTAGGTGTGTAGATGAATGGTTCAGAGAACCTACATGTTGATAAATTAGACACATGTGCAACTCTTGGGTATCTTTATTGAGGAAACGTTTCGCCACACAGTGGCTTCATCAGTCCATACAAAGGATAATCTTGAAGAACGGGAGGAGAATGAGGTAATCAGTCCCTCAACCTTGAGTCGATGTGGTCAGTCCATCAAGATTGATGGACTGACCACATCGACTCAAGGTTGAGGGACTGATTACCTCATTCTCCTCCTGTTTTTCAAGATTCTCCTTTGTATGGACTGATGAAGCCACTGTGTGGCGAAACGTTTCCTCAATAAAGATACCCAAGAGTTGCATATGTGTCTAATTTATCAACTAGGTGTGTATATATACACACACACACACACACACACACACACACACACACACACACACACACACACACACCACACACCACACACCACACACACACACACACACACACACACACACACACACACACACACACACACGGCCGTCTCCCACCGAGGCAAGGTGACCTAAAAAAGATAAACGAAAGTTTTTGTTTTTACATTTAGTTATTTGTACAGGAGAAGGGGTTACTAGCCCCTTGCTCCTGGCATTTTAGTCGCCTCTTACCACACGCATGGCTTACAGTTGCTTTTTACTGATGACATTGTGTTTTTGAGAAATTCTAGGGAGTAGTTGCAGTGGTTTTCGGATGGATTTGGGAGGGTACGTGAAAGAAGGAAATTAAAGGTGAACATAGAAAAGAACTAGGTGATGAGGAGAACAAAAATATTAGGTAATGGAAGACTGGATAGCAGATTGGAGAGAGGAAGTATGGAGGAACTGAAAGTGGATATGACAGCAGATGGGTCTATGAAAGACGAGGTAAAGCATAGAATGACGAGGGGGTAAAAGGCGAATGGTGCACTGACGAGTCTGTGGAGACAAAGAACGTTATCCATGGAAGCAAAGAGGGGAATGTATGAGAGTATAGTTGTGATAAATGGTTCAGAGAACCGACAAGTTGAAGATTGAGACACTTATGCAACATATGGGAATCTTTATTAAGGAAACGTTTCGCCACACAGTGTTTTTTTCAGTCCAATACAAAGAAGAGAAGCAAGGAGAGAAGGAGTTCCTCAGCCTGGAATCGATGTGTTCAGTCCATGTGTTCAGTCCATCGCTCTTTTATGGGTGTGAAGCATGAGTGGTGAATGTTGCAACAAGAAGAAGGCGGGAGACAGTGGAAATAGCTTGTCTGAGGGCAGTGTGGAGTGCGAATATGCAGAGAATCCGTAACTTGGAGGTTAGGAGGAACAGGGTTTATAAAAGTATTATCTAGAGGTACAGGAGGGGTTGTTGAGGACATCTATAGAGGATGGAACAAAATAGAATGACTTGGAGGGCGTATAAATCTACAATGGAAGGAATGTGGGGTAGGGGTCGTTCTAGGAAAGGATGGAGGGAGGGGACAAAGTAAGTTTTGTGTGCGAGGTGCTTAGACTTTCAGCAAGCGTGCGTCAGCGTGATAGATAGGAGTTAGTGGAGGCAAATGATTTTTATGACTAGAAGTACTGCCGCAGTGTGAGCAAGGTAACGTTTATGAAGGTATTTAGGGAAACTGGTTAATCGGACTTGAGTCCTGAAGGTGGGAAGTACAGTACCTTCGCTCTGAAGTAGGAGTGGAGACGTGCGCAGTTCTTGAACTGTGGTATCAACACACCTCTGCCAAGATAGTGATGGAGTGAATGATGATAAAGTGTTTCTTCTTTTTCGGGTCACCCGCCTCGTTAGGAAACGGCCGATGTATTGATAAAATATTTATTCATTTATTTTCTTCCCTCTCCTTCCAGTAGTGGATCCGCCAAGGGAAACGATGTCTCCCACTGCTGCACTTCATCTGACTCCTGTATAAGTTGATGAACGAGATTCTTGTGCAACATATAGGTATCTTTACTGTAGAAACGTTTCGCCAATTAGTGGCTTCCTCAGTCCTGTATAAGCGATCATCAAGAGTAGGGTAGTAAGCACCTCCCTCCACTTGTCGGTGTTCTGAACCTTTTAAACAATCCCTATCCATGAGCTGGAAGTGCATATCAAGTTCTTACGCTCACGAGATAGCCTTTTAATATTCTCTTTCGTACATTGATTTCTTTATCAAGTCAACTTGAATTTAAAATCTGCTGAGTAACATACTGTCAGACGAGAAGATTTTACTCTGATGGGTCGAGAGTTCAACATTCAAGAAGGGATGAGTCCCAAGGATCGTGTCTTGCATGTTGGATGTTGCTTTCAAGAAATCTCCCGCTGAAAATAATTAGCAGTCTGTCTTGCCATTTATCATATCTACATTACCTAACTAGCATGCGAATGGAAAAAAAACATGGAAATAATCACGTATCTTATTCATAAATTATAAGTGAACCGAGTTGTGGAAAAAAGCATTGGCCAAAAGTATGGTGTATTTCAAATAATTATCATTTACGACCCAGTGGGGTAGAAATGAACTTATACAGCATTTTAATGGCGGTGGAAGAGGAGGAGGAGGAGGAGAGGGTAATCAAGTAGGAGGATTCCACGTGAGTCCCGTCTGTCCTGCCGAGCAAATTGGTTCTTAATGAGGTCCTTCCATATATTAGAACGGAGAACTGCAGAATCTTGGCAGTGAGACGCCGAAGACGCTCGAAGAGGTTGCCCATCAACGTCAATTCAGCTACCCGAGCTTCTGTCCAGGATCTGTACCACATGTCTATATTCCAGGTATGTGTGCAGGTGGTTGTGACTAGTGTCTTCAGGACATACACACACACACACACACACACACACACACACACAACTAACACTACAAACCTCACTCAAGGAAAAAGATCTTGGGGTGAGTATAACACCAGGCACATCTCCTGAGGCGCACATCAACCAAATAACTGCTGCAGCATATGGGCGCCTAGCAAACCTAAGGACATCATTCCAATATCTTAATAAGGAATCGTTCAGGACCCTGTACACCGTGTACGTTAGACCCATTTTGGAGTATGTAGCACCAGTTTGGAACCCACATCTAGCCAAGCACGTAAAGAAACTAGAGTAAGTGCAAAGGTTTGCAACGAGACTAGTCCCAGAGCTAAGGGGTATGTCCTACGAGGAGAAGTAAAGGAAAATCGACCTGACGACACTGGAGGACAGGAGAGATAGGGGGGGGGCATGATAACGACATATACAATACTGAGAGAAATTGACAAGGTGGACAGAGACAGAATGTTCCAGAGATGGGACACAGCAACAAGGGGACACAGTTGGAAGTTGAAGACACAGATGAATCACAGGATGTTAGGAAATATTTCTTCAGTCACAGAGTAGTCAGGAAGTGGAATAGTTTGGGAAGCGATGTAGTGGAGGCAGGATCCATACATAGCTTTAAACAGAGGTATGATAAGGCTCATGGTTCAGGGAGAGTGACCTAGTAGCGACCAGTGAAGAGGCGGGGCCAGGAGCAATGACTCGACTCCTGCAACCACAACTAGGTGAGTATACACACACGTGTGTGCACACGCAGGAAACACTGCAGGAGGAATATGTCTTCTTAATGGAAGAACGAACAAGTAGTGATATGATCACAGCATTGAAAATACTCTGGGGCATGTATATGTATATATATATATATATATATATATATATATATATATATATATATATATATATATATATATATATATATATATATTTATTATTTTTATTATCACACCGGCCGATTCCCACCAAGGCAGGGTGGCCCGAAAAAGAAAAACTTTCACCATCATTCACTCCATCACTGTCTTGCCAGAAGGGTGCTTTACACTACAGTTTTTAAACTGCAACATTAACACCCCTCCTTCAGAGTGCAGGCACTGTACTTCCCATCTCCAGGACTTAAGTCCGGCCTGCCGGTTTCCCTGAATCCCTTCATAAATGTTACTTTGCTCACACTCCAACAGCACGTCAAGTATTAAAAACCATTTGTCTCCATTCACTCCTATCAAACACGCTCACGCATGCCTGCTGGAAGTCCAAGCCCCTCGCACACAAAACCTCCTTTACCCCCTCCCTCCAACCCTTCCTAGGCCGACCCCTACCCCGCCTTCCTTCCACTACAGACTGATACACTCTTGAAGTCATTCTGTTTCGCTCCATTCTCTCTACATGTCCGAACCACCTCAACAACCCTTCCTCAGCCCTCTGGACAACAGTTTTGGTAATCCGCACCTCCTCCTAACTTCCAAACTACGAATTCTCTGCATTATATTCACACCACACATTGCCCTCAGACATGACATCTCCACTGCCTCCAGCCTTCTCCTCGCTGCAACATTCATCACCCACGCTTCACACCCATATAAGAGCGTTGGTAAAACTATACTCTCATACATTCCCCTCTTTGCCTCCAAGGACAAAGTTCTTTGTCTCCACAGACTCCTAAGTGCACCACTCACTCTTTTTCCCTCATCAATTCTATGATTCACCTCATCTTTCATAGACCCATCCGCTGACACGTCCACTCCCAAATATCTGAATACGTTCACCTCCTCCATACTCTCTCCCTCCAATCTGATATTCAATCTTTCATCACCTAATCTTTTTGTTATCCTCATAACCTTACTCTTTCCTGTATTCACCTTTAATTTTCTTCTTTTGCACACCCTACCAAATTCATCCACCAATCTCTGCAACTTCTCTTCAGAATCTCCCAAGAGCACAGTGTCATCAGCAAAGAGCAGCTGTGACAACTCCCACTTTGTGTGTGATTCTTTATCTTTTAACTCCACGCCTCTTGCCAAGACCCTCGCATTTACTTCTCTTACAACCCCATCTATAAATATATTAAACAACCACGGTGACATCACACATCCTTGTCTAAGGCCTACTTTTACTGGGAAAAAATTTCCCTCTTTCCTACATACTCTAACTTGAGCCTCACTATCCTCGTAAAAACTCTTCACTGCTTTCGTAACCTACCTCCTACACCATACACTTGCAACATCTGCCACATTGCCCCCCTATCCACCCTGTCATACGCCTTTTCCAAATCCATAAATGCCACAAAGACCTCTTTAGCCTTATCTAAATACTGTTCACTTATATGTTTCACTGTAAACACCTGGTCCACACACCCCCTACCTTTCCTAAAGCCTCCTTGTTCATCTGCTATCCTATTCTCCGTCTTACTCTTAATTCTTTCAATTATAAACTCTACCATACACTTTACCAGGTACACTCAACAGACTTATCCCCCTATAATTTTTGCACTCTCTTTTATCCCCTTTGCCTTTATACAAAGGAACTATGCATGCTCTCTGCCAATCCCTAGGTACCTTACCCTCTTCCATACATTTATTAAATAATTGCACCAACCACTCCAAAACTATATCCCCACCTGCTTTTAACATTTCTATCTTTATCCCATCAATCCCGGCTGCCTTACCCCCTTTCATTTACCTACTGCCTCACGAACTTCCCCCACACTCACAACTGGCTCTTCCTCACTCCTACAAGATGTTTTTCCCTCCTTGCCCTATACACGAAATCACAGCTTCCCTATCTTCATCAACATTTAACAATTCCTCAAAATATTCCTTCCATCTTCCCAATACCTCTAACTCTCCATTTAATAACTCTCCTCTCCTATTTTTAACTGCCAAATCCATTTGTTCTCTAGGCTTTCTTAACTTGTTAATCTCACTCCAAAACTTTTTCTTATTTTCAACAAAATTTGTTGATAACATCTCACCCACTCTCTCATTTGCTCTCTTTTTACATTGCTTCACCACTCTCTTAACTTCTCTCTTTTTCTCCATATACTCTTCCCTCCTTGCATCACTTCTACTTTGTAAAAACTTCTCATATGCTAACTTTTTCTCCCTTACTACTCTCTTTACATCATCATTCCACCAATCGCTCCTCTTCCCTCCTGCACCCACTTTCCTGTAACCACAAAACTTCTGCTGAACACTCTAACACTACATTTTTAAACCTACCCCATCCCTCTTCGACCCCATTGCCTATGCTCTCATTAGCCCATCTATCCTCCAATAGCTGTTTATATCTTACCCTAACTGCCTCCTCTTTTAGTTTATAAACCTTCACCTCTCTCTTCCCTGATGCTTCTATTCTCCTCGTATCCCATCTACCTTTTACTCTCAGTGTAGCTACAACTAGAAAGTGATCTGATATATCTGTGGCCCCTCTATAAACATGTACATCCTGAAGTCTACTCAACAGTCTTTTATCTACCAATACATAATCCAACAAACTACTGTCATTTCGCCCTACATCATATATATATATATATATATATATATATATATATATATATATATATATATATATATATATATATATATATATATAAAGAGTGCATTAAGATGTGTTTCTTGTGTTACAGGTTTGCACACTGGGAAGGATGTGTTTGTGGTTCCTGCTTATCATAGGACTTCTCTCCCAGGCGAGTATATGTACCTTTAAATATCAAAATTATCTTTGCCGGCTAGCTTATATTTCATTTTCCAAACTTCTGAAGTATGGGCGGGGATGCTGCAGTGTGTCATGTCTGAGTTGTGATGTTCACACTTGTGGACAGGAGATGTTGGAAGGAATGATGTTAATCTAAACTGGTAGATTTTATTCGGATTACTAACCCAGGATAATTCAAGAGAGCCACTCAGTCTGGTTATTCCCATTGGGTTGGTATGGATACGTCCCATAATAGTGGGCTAACACCCAGGTATCTGTAATGTTTGCTGCTAGGTGAGCAGGGTAAGCAAATACAGTAAAACCTGCCCATTTCCACTTTTGCCAGGATCGAACCCAGATCTCTCAGATGTGAGCCGAAATCCTTACCACTTGGTGAATGTAATTTTTGGGAGGATATCCCTGTATTGGTTAGACACGGCTTATGTCGGATAAATTTGAAGTATTTATCCGACCAGTTTCACTAATCACACCCTATTCTTTCCCCACCCTTAACTAGTATGCGAAATTCTAAATATATATCCTCTTAATTAATAAACCTAAAACACATTAAACAGAACACATGACATCTCTTCATCATTATTATTAATAATTAGTGAACAAAATTAAACTGGGAGGTGTCATTCACAGTTGACATCTCATTTCCGAGGATTCGAGACTGGTACATAATTACTAAACCCGTGTGGGTCATTAAACTGGTGGCTGAAGCTCTCCCTTCACACGTCGAGGGCCTGGGTTCGATTCCCAGCCAGGGTAGGAATATTGGACGTGTTTCTTTCCACCTGTTGTCTATGTTCCTCATCAGTAAAATGGGTACCTGAGTGTTAGTGGACTGGTGTGGGTCGCATCCTGGGACACTGACCTAATTTGCCCGAAATGCTCAGCATAACAAGCGGCTTTCTATATAGTAGTATGTCATTGATGTCAGCTAGACCTGTATACATGTAGTAAATAAAGATATTATTATTATTATTATTATTATTATTATTATTATTATTATTATTATTATTATTATTATTATTATTAATGAAAGCACTAGCGTTTTGTTGTAACCTCTTTACAATTAAATTAAAGTTACAGTATGAGAGTATTAGCAGGTCGAAAGATTACAATAATGTTATATTATGAGCATATTGTGTAGACCTAAAAACAGTTCCTAGGCAGATCCAGTTCAACTCCAGTCCCTTCAATACCGAAAACAAAAGAAATAGTAATAATCCTGTAACCTGTCCATCTATCTAACAATCTATCTACTGGTGGTGTTGTCAGAGCCAGCAAGGTGCGGCCCATTTCTACAAGATCCAGCCTGGCACCTTCAAAGAGTTCCAATACATCAATTGCCAAGGAACTTACAACAGGTCCACTTACACCAAGTTAATCCGCATCTGTGAGGAATGTCAGAACCTCTACCGCAATGACTACACCGTCTCGCTGGAATGCAAGTAAGTACAGCCAATTCACAGTTAATTCATAGACTGGAAACCATATTTCATTTCAGTCTGACGCTCTGGTCCATCTTGTAGACCTGAAATGTCGATCAAGATCAAATAAAGACATGCTCTGCACGTCAAGCTTTTATTGCGACAATGTTTTCATTTTTTTTTTAGATATTTATTAAGTCCGTGATTAGATAAAAACCTGGGGAGGCTGAAATGAAGTGTGTCTTTCTTTTTACCAGCAATATGCCATTTGGATTCAACATTATTATTATTATTATTATTATTATTATTATTATTATTATTATAATCAAGGGGGTAAGCGCTAAACCCAGAGGATTATACAGCGCCTGGGGGGGGGGGGATGTGGAAGGCATTCAGGCTTAATTCGGGAACTGGATCACAGATCCAATTCCCTAAATCAAGAGCCCCTCACCAACATCAAGGAACCTTCCTTGAGGGGTTTGGATTCAACAAAGTCGCGACTCCACAATCATCCACGATTGTGGAGTAGAATTAATTGTGAATTATTCAAATTACAATTACTGCAGCCTGCCCCAAACTACATTTTATTCTCGAAGATACATCACAATCATTCAGTTAATACATACACACACATAATGCGATAAGAAATGGGTGGTATCTTAATATGCAAAATAAGCACAATGAAAATAGAATTCCATCTGTTTTGCCGATTTCTCGCACTGATAATGTGAGAAATCACGAAAGCGCTTGGAATGCTACTGTGGCTATATTGCATTTGCACTTACTGTTACATATTACATGTGGTTTAAACACGTATAATTTATATATTTTCTAACTTTCTCAGGGAGAACTGCTTCCAGAACGAGATGTTTGATAAATGTGTGCTGTCTCTGCTGCTGGCTCATAAAGAAGAGGAATATAAAAACATGATTACTTATGCCAGCGGGTAGGAGCTGCAGTCACAGTGTTTAAGGTGGTTAGTTCAGTGACCAACTGGTAGTACGTAATTCAAATTAACTTTTGTTGGTGTTATAGAAATGACAGTCATGCCTCAATAACATGCTATTAATAAGTTCTTGTCAGAATTCATGATGTGTTTTTTTTTGTCCATCCATTTGCTTGCAGGGGTTGAATTATAGCTGCTGGTCCGGATTATTAACTACTAACGCGCAGTTTTACTGACTGAGAGCCTCTATCATAACTTCTCTCAAATCTTTATATGGTGTTTGCCTCTTTCACTGCTTCATCTAGTTAATGTCATAAGTTATCCTGAGGTTAGAGATATTTCCTAAAATCTGCGGGCCAGTTAATTCTTTACCCACCAGCTATGTATAATATCTCTGGCATCTGACAGCATCTATAATCCCCTCTTATTCATTTCATACAGCCGTTAGCTTTATTACTTCTAAAGTGGGTACTCGCCTAGCTATGGTTGCTGGGGGTCGAATCTTAACCATTGTCCCCACTGAACTGAATATGACTGGTTTAGCTAGTCTCTTGCTTCATGAGCCCTATCGTACTTATCCCTAACACTGTGCAAGATATTTACTTTCACCATATTCTTGTCCAGTTTATTTTACTTCCTGATCCTCCTGTGCTCGAGGTTGAACAAGTATCTCCTAACATCCTTGTGGCTGATCTCAGTGTCAGCTTCATGCACCTGCCTCTTAACCTTTTCTACACTGGAAAAGTGGGCTCCTAGCCCCTTGGGATATACTAACCCTATTTTTAAAACCATGTATGGAGTCAGACCTCCACTTGTAGTTCATGTCAGCAATTAACCACCAGTTGCCATTATTTATTTATTTTATTTATTTATTTATTTATGTCTTTGCAAACAGTACATTGAGATTTTATATTTACAATAGTGGGTTGCAATGCAAAGAAAGCCTCTATTTTGGCTCTCAGTCCCAAATGTCCTTTAAAGTGAGACTCCAACCTGAGGAGTGTTCTAAGGGTCAACACCCCCCCCCCCCTCCATACCATGTCTGATCAACCAGGATGTTGGTGCTAGCCGCATAAAGTACATGTAAGCACCCCAGCCTAGCTGGTCAAGAACCAGCTTGAGGAACTTATCACATTCTCTTATCTAAACAATCAGAGATCGGTTGGTAATCCACTAAATGTATGGAGGGTGTTGAAAGGTCTTGGTCCCTTACACCTCGATTCCTCAGGTCTTTCCTTCAGTGTTCCCAAGTTGTTATCACTTGGGCCAAATTACCTATTTAAGTTAGTAGGTTGAACTCTAGCTCTTGGCTCTGCCTCAACTTTCGACTGACTGAGGTTAACTGCCAATCACATTTTCCTCCTAGTCCTAATGTATTATCTTTTTACCTCATCAACCATCTCCCACCAAGACATAATTATCATTATTATTATTCCTTTATCAAGAGCCCCTCATGGGCATCAGGGAACCTCTCCTTAGATCATTACATTATTATAATAAAAAAGAAGCGCTAAACCACAAGGGCTATATTGCTTAAATCATTACAATCATAGCTAGGCATTAAACCCATAAGGGCCATACCTCCTCAGATTATTATTATTATAATCAAGGGGAAGCGCTAAACCCGGAGGATTATACAGCGCCTGGGGGGGGGGGATGTGGAAGGCATTCAGGCTTAATTCGGGGAACTGGAGCACAGATCCAATTCCCTAAATCAAGAGCCCCTCACCAACATCAAGGAACCTTCCTTGAGGGGTTACCTCCTCAGAGAGATAGACCTTGTTTTATTTAAAAACAAGCGCCAATCCCGTATGAGTCATAAAGCTTCTGCAGAGAGTCAGGTTATACTGTGTCAGTGTCTAGTTCATTCCACAGCTTTACTGTTCTTACACCAAAGTTTATAATATTCTCACAAAAGTGTGATTCTTTTAGTTACAAAATGCTAAATCCACATACACAAAATGCTTTGTAATGCTTTGGACTCAGTTTGATGTGTGGTTTTCTGTTATAGCTTTCATTTTTATTATTAATTTCAATTATTATTATTAAAATCAAGGGGGAAGTGCTAATTATTATTATTATTATTATAATCAAGGAGGAAGCGCTAAACCCGGAGGATTATACAGCGCCTGGGGGGGGGGATGTGGAAGGCATTCAGGCTTAATTTGGGGAACTGGAGCACAGATCCAATTCCCTAAATCAAGAGCCCCTCACCAACATCAAGGAACCTTCCTTGAGGGGGGAAGTGCTAAACCAAGGATTATACAGCACCTGGGGGGGGGGTGGAAGCATTCAGCTTAATCCGGGGAACTGGAGCATAGATACAATTCCCTAAATCAAGAGCCCCTCACCAACATCAAGGAACCTTCCTTGAGGGGTATTAATTTCAAAAAATGTGCACCTCTCATTTTAATGTAATGTAGTGAGTATATTTATGCTGGGGAGGTAAGGATTCAAACCTTAGCCACTACTGGCCTTGCAGTTTTAACAAAGGTTTTGTCTAGCTTGCTGGATTCTCCTGTACCCTTCATATTTACTCTTGAAGCTCTGTATGAGAGCCTGTTTCCATCAATTTCTCTTGTAAATTCCACTTTATTTTCTCACCTAAAACTAGTACAGTATTGCTAAACCTTCCTGTGGCCTAGTTGAAATCACTCTGTATATGGGAATACCTAGGAGTACATGGGAAAGATATTATTATTAGTGCAATAAAAAACTAAGCACTAAATGGAGAAAGTAGAAAACATCTGACAGTTTATATCTAGGATATGTGCAAAGAACTATAATTATCTAGCTCCTATTTCTGTTTTGATAGTTTAAGAGAAAGCTCTCTTTCCATCCTATGGCCACACTGCCAGCCTGCAACAGTGGTCAAGACATAGCTATGAAAAATGTGAATGGATATTTAATAAGACAAGTGGAAGCAGAATGGTAATTACTGTACTACCTTACCATACTACTTGTACAACTTCAGCTACTACTATAAAACCACCAATACTATAATTGTTCATTGTAAGGTTGTTTCTGAACTGATATATCTAGTCAATTGCTGCATTATATTTAGTCAAACTACATTGTATCTAGTCAGCTACTGCACTGTATCTAGTCAGCTACTGCATTGTATCTAGTCAGTCCCTGCACTGTATCAAATCAGCCCTGATGTTGTATTTAGTCACCTATTGCATTGTATTCAAATGAATTCTATATTTTAAGTGCTCATTAAACTAGTTCTTATATTACTGTGGAGATGCATATATGTGCATGCACATGCATTATTATTATAACAAAAGAGAAGCGCTAAACCACAAGGGCTATACAGCGCTATTCATGCACATGCAGTGTGTTCATGCATGTACGTGAGTCCATGTGCACTGGTACTCATGCACGTGTGTATATGATTAAAATACAAATTTAAATTGTATCCAGTCATGACTTCAATTATAAAAAAAAAAAATTAAATGATGATTATTGATTTACATGTATAAACAGTAAGACTTAAATTTATTTTGTAATTTAATCATACTTTCACTCATGGAATGATCAATTACACAGGTACATTTTGTGTAATGAATGCAAATAACAGCATAAACAAGTGCATTACCATATGAAGGAATACCAAACCTGTTGGGGATCATACATTATTATTATTATAATCAAGGAGGAAGCGCTAAACCTGGAGGATTATACAGAGCCTGGGGGGGGGATGTGGAAGGCATTCAGGCTTAATTCGGGGAATTGGAGCACAGATCCAATTCCCTAAATCAAGAGCCCCTCACCAACATCAAGGAATCTTCCTTGAGGGGTGGGGATCATACAGCATCTGGGGAAATGGGAGGTAATCAGGTTTGATCCAAGGGAATGGAAAGTAGCTCCATTCCCTTGGTATCAAGAGCCCTGCATTAGAATCCTGGAACCCCTCTTAAAGAGAATGTCAAGCAATGCCACATTAAAACTTTCCCATTCTTGCTTTATGGTGTTATCTGATCTACTAACACATAATCAGGGATAAAATTTTATAATATTCTTGATGCTATATTAACTGCACGGCTTTATTACTAATTGATACTGATACATTGTTTTATATATTCCATTCATGTGGGTAATTCAGTACTGAAATGTCTATAAAATTTTGGATGAAGCTCTTATATCTTTAATGTTATCTAAAATCAAGGTTGAATAAACATGTGTATAAATGCAGAAAGTAATGTGTGCCACTTGGCCTCAGTCACTCAAAAGAAGTTACCTGGTTTACTTACTTCACTGCTGAACCCTAGTACAGTTTAGTTATACATTAATACTACGTATTATTATATTCTCAATGAACTGCTAAACCCATAGCGATCACTTGGCTCTTTGTCATATGTTAAATTTTCAAAAATCCTCATTCTTGTAAAGTGTAGGGCATTTCCCATTCTTGGCTTGCATTTACTCAGTCACATGTCCTTTTCTTATTTCTCAGATATTTACCATACTAATCCTTGTTCATTTCCAGTTCACCAAGTGTCAATTCTCAGTACACATTACAGCACAGTATTGTGTAAATCTTGATTAAAGGTTTAAAAATATCAATGCAAACACAATAATCACATCAGGTTGAAATGTCTTTTGATTCTACATAAGGTCACCCCCTCAAGCAGCAGATGCTTGCATATGGAATGAGGCATCAAAGATACAAGAGTACAACTGTGCTAATTGTGGATAAATGACATTACAGTATCTGTCCTAGAGCTTATTTCTCTAGTTATTCAGACATGCCTGTCATCAGATATCTGATCCACATGATCCATACAGGAGTCAACAAAATCCCAGGTCTTTGGTGAATGAATAGCCACCTTGAAATGATACATAACTACAGTTTTATTACTATGACTACAGTATTGGAAAAGGAGCAAATAATTCTTACCTCATTCAATACCCATTAATATACTACATATGTAATTAATTTATGGAATAAATAAAAATGCTACCTATTTGTTTTATTAAACAATACATCAATTACATAAGCCTTATTTCTAGTGTATGTCACTGGATTACACATTAAGTAACAAAAATACTGTGGTGGGGATGATTTACAACACTTTCAATAATCAACCAAACTCATTAAAAATATTATGCACATACAGTACTCTCATTACTCCATCTTATGTGTTCAGTATCTGGATGGTGACTGCACTATAACGTTACCCAGAAATCATATCCAGTATGTATACATCTTTTAAGAGAGTGGTGAAGCAATGTAAAAAGAGAGCAAATGAGAGAGTGGGTGAGATGTTATCAACAAATTTTGTTGAAAATAAGAAAAAGTTTTGGAGTGAGATTAACAAGTTAAGAAAGCCTAGAGAACAAATGGATTTGTCAGTTAAAAATAGGAGAGGAGAGCTATTAAATGGAGAGTTAGAGGTATTGGGAAGATGGAGGGAATATTTTGAGGAATTGTTAAATGTTGATGAAGATAGGGAAGCTGTGATTTCGTGTATAGGGCAAGGTGGAACAACATCTTGTAGGAGTGAGGAAGAGCCAGTTGTGAGTGTGGGGGAAGTTCGTGAGGCAGTAGGTAAAATGAAAGGGGGTAAGGCAGCCGGGATTGATGGGATAAAGATAGAAATGTTAAAAGCAGGTGGGGATATAGTTTTGGAGTGGTTGGTGCAATTATTTAATAAATGTATGGAAGAGGGTAAGGTACCTAGGGATTGGCAGAGAGCATGCATAGTTCCTTTGTATAAAGGCAAAGGGGATAAAAGAGAGTGCAAAAATTATAGGGGGATAAGTCTGTTGAGTATACCTGGCAAAGTGTATGGTAGAGTTATTATTGAAAGAATTAAGAGTAAGACGGAGAATAGGATAGCAGATGAACAAGGAGGCTTTAGGAAAGGTAAGGGGTGTGTGGACCAGGTGTTTACAGAGAAACATATAAGTGAACAGTATTTAGATAAGGCTAAAGAGGTCTTTGTGGCATTTATGGATTTGGAAAAGGCGTATGACAGGGTGGATAGGGGGGCAATGTGGCAGATGTTGCAGGTGTATGGTGTAGGAGGTAGGTTACTGAAAGCAGTGAAGAGTTTTTACGAGGACAGTGAGGCTCAAGTTAGAGTATGTAGGAAAGAGGGAAATTATTTCCCAGTAAAAGTAGGCCTTAGACAAGGATGTGAGATGTCACCGTGGTTGTTTAATATATTTATAGATGGGGTTGTAAGAGAAGTAAATGCGAGGGTCTTGGCAAGAGGCGTGGAGTTAAAGGATAAAGAATCACACATAAAGTGGGAGTTGTCACAGTTGCTCTTTGCTGATGACACTGTGCTCTTGGGAGATTCTGAAGAGAAGTTGCAGAGATTGGTGGATGAATTTGGTAGGGTGTGCAAAAGAAGAAAATTGAAAGTGAATACAGGAAAGAGTAAGGTTATGAGGATAACAAAAAGATTAGGTGATGAAAGATTGGATATCAGATTGGAGGGAGAGAGTATGGAGGAGGTGAATGTATTCAGATATTTGGGAGTGGACGTGTCAGCGGATGGGTCTATGAAAGATGAGGCGAATCATAGAATTGATGAGGGGAAAAGGGTGAGTGGTGCACTTAGGAGTCTGTGGAGACAAAGAACTTTGTCCTTGGAGGCAAAGAGGGGAATGTATGAGAGTATAGTTTTACCAACACTCTTATATGGGTGTGAAGCATGGGTGATGAATGTTGCAGCGAGGAGAAGCTGGAGGCAGTGGAGATGTCATGTCTGAGAACAATGTGTGGTGTGAATATAATGCAGAGATTTCGTTGTTTGGAAGTTAGGAGGAGGTGCGGGATTACCAAAACTGTTGTCCAGAGGGCTGAGGAAGGGTTGTTGAGGTGGTTCGGACATGTGGAGAGAATGGAGCGAAACAGAATAACTTCAAGAGTGTATCAGTCTGTAGTGGAAGGAAGGCGGGGTAGGGGTCGGCCTAGGAAAGGTTGGAGGGAGGGGGTAAAGGAGGTTTTGTGTGCGAGGGGCTTGGACTTCCAGCAGGCATGCGTGAGCGTGTTTGATAGGAGTGAATGGAGACAAATGGTTTTTAATACTTGACGTGCTGTTGGAGTGTGAGCAAAGTAACATTTATGAAGGGGTTCAGGGAAACCGGCAGGCCGGACTTCAGTCCTGGAGATGGGAAGTACAGTGCCTGCACTCTGAAGGAGGGGTGTTAATGTTGCAGTTTAAAAACTGTAGTGTAAAGCACCCTTCTGGCAAGACAGTGATGGAGTGAATGATGGTGAAAGTTTTTCTTTTTCGGGCCACCCTGCCTTGGTGGGAATCGGCCAGTGTGATAATAAAAATAAATAAATAATTTCTTTCAACATACCAGCCATATCCCACCGAGGTGGGGTGGCCCAAAAGAAAAAACTAAGGTTTCTCCTTTTAAATTTAGTAATATATACAGGAGAAGGGGTTACTAACCCCTTGCTCCCGGCATTTTAGTCGCCTCTAACGACACGCGTGGCTTACAGAGGAAGAATTCTGTTCCACTTCCCCATGGAGATAAGAGGAAATAAACAGGAACAAGAATTAGAAAGAAAATAGAAGAAAACCCACGTATGTGTAGTGTGACCTAAGTGTAAGTAGAAGTAGCAAGACGTACCTATAATTTTGCATATTTATGAGACAGACAAAAGAAACCAGCAATCCTACCATCATGTAAAACAATTACAGGCTTTCGTTTTACACTCACTTGGCAGGATGGTAGTACCTCCCTGGGCGGTTGCTGTCTACCAACCTACTACCTACTCTCATATCTCACAATAAAATCTTAAAAGTGAAGTGCCAGTTGGAATAAAGTCACAAAACTTTTCCTCACATGGACGATAAAATGCTACATTTCATTTTTTTATAAGAATATTCTGCTTTAAATGTTAGCTTGTATAAGGCTTGAGAGTGCTCCTCTGGCTAAAACAGGAGGATTGCCTTTCCAAAAAGATTTGAATTTTTCTGTTTAATATAAAGGTTATATCCCTGTCCAAGATGCTAGGCTCAACCATATTTAAAATGCTAGACAATTTTACTCAAGGTAATGAAATGCTTGAATATTGAATTAAGTTACATTCCTCATCTTCAGCTCAACATCATTATGATTTGCAGTCAGTCCATTAGCAATCATGATTATCAAACTCAGCTAGTCAATTACTGCATTCATGAAAAAAAAGTGCTAAACCTGTGTGGGTCAGATCACTTAGCCAGTCACTGCTCAGACAATTTGATTTATCCATCCCTTTTCTGAAGGAAAATACATAAAGCTACTAAAACGAGCATTAATATAATAGTTTAATAAAGGGAACATACATATTTATTAGGGAGCATATATCAAATGAAATTTTAACTTCTAAATATCAACAACATGCATAAGCTGGGATACTAAAGCTGAAATATCCTTGTCCATATCCATGAGTAAACCAGTGTTTGCAGTATTAGTTGCTATTACTGTCACAACCATCGGTAACTTGTTGAAATGCACAACCTGCAGATGTGGAAGGAGGAAAAATTTATTTTAGTATACAGCAAATCTAAATTAATAGTACAATTTTCTGACGCTTCATTTGCTTTTACAAACTAATAAACAATTTCAGACATTTCAAAAATGCTAGCCAATTAGGCTACCATTAACCCTTAAACTGTCCAAACATAGATCTACGTTCACGTATGTAGCGCTCCGACCTTGATTTTCCCTATTTGAAAGCATGTAAAAAAAACGCAGATCTATGTTCGGAGCCTGCCGCACGTCAATGTATATCTACGTTTGGACAGTTTAAGGGTTAAACAGCTTATGTGGCTAATTTGTTTAATCTTTCTTCCTAACTTTGTCTATATTTTCAACTAAGACTTTAGAAAAACTTACTTCTCAGCACATTCCATTTAAATTCATACATTACTGTTCTTACTGTACTGCTGTACAGTAATAACTGATTACGAGTAAGTGTTTTTAGGTCTATGCACAAACATTTCTGACTTGCATGAACATGGCTATTAATAAAATATACACTAGGAAGCTTGAGTGGCAATGGTGAAAGTGGCTGACAGAACCTAACATTTTGGACAGTTTTTTAGCCGAAACTTTGGCCAGGTTGACATGGGGTGGGCCTAATACCTGAGGTGATTGGGAGTAGAGGAATGCAGAATTGAGTTAACCAGTTTTTGGAAGCCCATAAATATGTTGCTAAAAAGTTGTTCTCCATGGGGAAGTGGAACAAAATTCTTCCTCCGTATGCCATGTGTGTCATAAGAGGCAATTAAAATGCTGGGAGCGAGGGTCTAGTAACCCATACTCCTGTATGTTTTACTAAATTTAAAGAGAGAAACTTCAGTTTTTCTTTTTGGGCCACCCTGCCTCGGTGAGATATGGCCGATTTATTGAAAGAAGCAAAAAGTGGTAATCACATTAAGGATTTCTTTGCGTACTGTGTCTTATGCTGTCCACTTGTTGGTTTGATGGGTATACTGTACCAGTATTCAGTACCCAACTGTATCAGCTTAGTGTCTGATAAGGAGGATTTCAATACATTCATGCATAAAATGTTCATCAACTTGGCAAGAACATAATTTTGCACTATATAGCATACTTACCTGGTAGTTTCCATATATACACACCATCTTGTGATTCTTGCCCATGCCCAGTTTACCAGCTTGGTCTGTCGCCATACTAAATGTCGAGATAAAGTTTGGTCGCATTGCTAGTTCTGGCACTTCATCTGCTGCAACTAAGCAAAATATTTTTAATAACTTTCAGCAAAGTAAAAAAAAATACATTCCTTAGGAACAATCAGAATACCATGATTGGAACAATACACAAAAAAATTGAACAAAAGAGAAAGAAACTTATAATGACATTTTGGTCTGACTTGGACCATTAACTAGTCACACACTGTTAATGGCTCAAGTCAAGTTGCACCAAAATGTTGTCATAAGTTTATTTCCCCTGTGTGTGGGTTATTTGTGAATAATACATTCATTTACTGTTTTGCTCCATTTCAGATCTCACCAAATTTTAATTCAAGTCAACATATGCATATGTCACTGAAAGTAGGAAAATATGAAAAATCCTTCCTCGATATTCAGGATATCTGATAATGGTAAACTTTATTTGAAACACTGTCATTGAAGTTGATTGTTATTGCAAATGTGACCTACAAAACAAAAAAAAGAAAAACCATTTTCACCATTTGGCCTGGTCTCAGACCGGGCCGGTGGGGGGTCCAACCTCCGAAACCTTCTCCAGGTATACAGAAAACTTGTAATTTGTGTAACCATGACTCTCATTTTTCAATATATATAGCTTGCTGTATAAATTTTGTATAAAATATCAAATTTCCCTTTAAGTGCAGATCTGCTGAGTCATACACACACAAGTCTGGCAAATTAGTTACATCTGTCCCAGAGGGGAACACAAAAACAAATGCTCTATGTGATTTCTGGCATTCAGAAACCAAGACAAATGAGAGATTATTGCCTTAGGTTGTAAGTTAATTTTAAGGCTTCCTAAAATGCTCTGCAAAACCAGGGCCTTCTACTGAGTATGCCAATCATGTTAACTAATTCTATATCACTTGTATATACAGTATAAAGAATGGAATTAAAAATCGTCAATTTAGAATTTTTTTTAATACACATATTCATATCTAAATATCTATTTCTGAAATAAAAATGATTAATGAAAATTTAATAACAAGAGCACCTTATGTTGGTTAAAAGGACAAGTGTAACTAATGTGACATTTTATTGTGGCAACGTTTCACTCTCCAGGAGCTTTGTCAAGCTGTTACATAATGACTTGACAAAACTCTTGGAGAGCAAAACATTGCTGCATAAAATGTCACATTAGTTCCACTTGTGTCCTTTTACTTAACATATTGTCAGTAATTCTACATTATTACAAGAGCACATTGCATAAGATCATTTATACTTCATTATGTTTGAGACTACTTACCTTTTAGTATTGGTACTCCATCACGATCTGTTACGACAATACCGAGAACATCTTCAGTACTGAAAATAGAGAAATTCAGTTATAACAGGTTAGTTTAATAAAGTCTATATTGCAAAAGTCAGTCAAATGCACATACTAAGTTCATTAAAAAAAAGTACATTATAAAAAGCATATGCATATTCCTTATCTCTGTGCTGGATGGATAAAATCACAAGTGGGGCAAAGTGTATCCTCATAAAAGTATAATACACAATGATGGATATGTTTCATTTATGTGCATTTTTTAATTTATAGTAATTCTTCCCTCAAATTTATACATATTAGCCTCAAGATCTAACATTCTTGCCCATTATACTTAAACTTGATTGACTGCTAAAAAGTGGAGTACAGTATATTATGCAATTAGGGTGACTGACTTGCATAAACTACGTACTTTAAAGAAAGTCCCTTATGATGCAGGGTATTTCGGGCAATCTTAAAACTAAATTATGATTATAAGTATGTGAGAATAGAAATAAAACAAAACAAAAAATAAGTTAACAAAATAATTATTTAATGAATAGGATGGTAAGAGGTAGGAAGAACAGCGCTTACAATATGGAGAGGGGATGGGTATGTTTTAGTTTAAAGAGTTATTTGAACTGTGTGCGTGTGTACTTCTGGAAAGACAGCTACTGAATGAACAATGGTGAATGAGTTTCCTCTTTTGGGTCATCCTGACTTAGTGGAAGATGATCATCGTGGTACAGAAATTAACCTGTAAACGGTCCAAACGAATATACAGTATACGTTTTTTCAACATTTGAAAGTATGTAAAAAAACGTAGATCTTTTTGTTTTTTACATTTGAAAATGTGTAAAAAAACTTTGATCTACTTTTTTTTTGTTATATTTGAAAATATGTAAAAAAAAAAACGTAGATCTACTTTTGTAGCACTACACATGTGAACGTAGATCTGCTTGGACCGTTTACGGGTTAAAGATGGATAATGGTAAAAATATGATATGCAGTATAGATTCACAAGTCTAACAAGTATAAATGCCATCTAAAATTTATTACAGTATTGCTCAGTATTTCATTGCAGTACAGTATTTTGTTACAAAATAAAAATAAAATTAAAAACTTGCCTGTTCATCAAATCAAGTAGATATTTCTTCATCTCCTGAAAAGATTAAATAAATTATAGAATTACACATGTAATTAAAGTTTAAATAATGCAAAGATACAGGTAAACTTGCCCTATACTTTACCACACACACTATATGCTACAAACATGCAAAAATTTCCCATTATAAATATTTACCAGCATTTTATGTCTTATTCCTTAGATAAAGAGCCCCTCACTAGCAGCAAGGAACCTTCTTGAGGGGTGTAAGTTTACTTAGGCACAGGTACACAGAAATATAATTATCAGCGTAAATAACCTAGATAACAAAGCCAAAGTGATTTATTTCCATTACAATAAAGAACTTCATTTATTTGTGTAGTAGGTATATAGGCCTGGTGGCAAAAGCTCTTGTTTCACACTCTGAGGGTCCGAGTTTGATTCCCGGCGAGGGTTGAAACATTGGGCGTGTTTCCTTACACCGGTTGTCTATGTTCACCCATCAGTAATAATGGGTACCTGCGTATAAATCGACTGGTGTGGGTCACATCCTGAAGCAAAACTGACATAATTTGCCCAAAATGCTCTGACTAGCTTGTGCTAGTAGGTCTTACGTTGTGTCCTTCCTTAAGTGAATATGACCGGACCTGACTGGGTTGGGTCATTTGCTTAAGCCAGTGGGAGACTTGGACCTGCCTCGCATGGGCCAGTAGGCCTGCTACAGTGTTCCTTATTTCTCTACACATATGCTGCTATGTATGATAATCTATGTAACTGTATTTGTGTATACCTGAATAAACTTACTTATGTTCTTATAACATGCGGTTTTCTATATAGTAATACGTCATTGATGTCAGCTAGGCCTGTATACCTTGTACATGTACTTGTATTATTATTATTATTATTATTATTATTATTATTATTATAAAAAAGAAGCACTAAACCACAAGGGCTATACAGTCATGTACTTGTAGAAATAAAGATATATTATTATTATTATTAGTTTTATTTAAAATATTATTAAGGCCCGGTGGCCTGGTGGCTAAAGCTCCCGCTTCACACACGGAGGGCCCGGGTTCGATTCCCGGCGGGTGGAAACATTCAACACGTTTCCTTACACCTGTTGTCCTGTTCACCTAGCAGCAAATAGGTACCTGGGTGTTAGTCGACTGGTGTGGGTCGCATCCTGGGGGACAAGATTAAGGACCCCAATGGAAATAAGTTAGACAGTCCTCGATGACGCACTGACTTTCTTGGGTTATCCTGGGTGGCTAACCCTCCGGGGTTAAAAATCCAAACGAAATCTTATCTTATCTTATCTTATCACAAGGAAGGCCACTAACATGCTGTGCATTTCGGGTATTGGGATTCTTACTTGATTTAGAAAAGTCATAAGGTATACATAAGTAATTAAACCATATGATATATTTACATTTTAACATTAATACTTACAAACTGCATATAGATATATTATTATTACATTAACAGGGAAGCTCTACACTCGTAAGGGTCATACAGAACCCAGGATATTGGAAGTGTACAGAGTTATTAAGTTAATCTGAGGAAGGAAAGCTCCAGTTCCTCAGATCAAGACATTCCCCAGCAAAGAGATACAACCTTGACTCAAAAATTATATCAAATATACAAAAAAAAAAAAAAAATTTGATGACTTAACCTAGGATATCCAGGCAATTCAATACTCTAAATTCATATGTACAAATCATTTCATAGCATCAAATGAAGGTCAAACACAACTTCATTACTGTGTTAATTAAATCTACTACCAGAAGTAAAATTTAATTACATTACTGTTAACAAAGTATAAAATAAGAGCATGAAGCAGCACAAAATATCATACCTCTGCCATTTCATGAAGTGCAATGAGTGAATTTGATCTTATCTCTCCTTCCAAAATATCGCCTCCTTGTTCTTCAATAGGCTTAAAGTCTGTTACCTGACTTAGTGGTCTTAATTGAGAAAATATTGACTAAGAACTCGTGACTTCCAAAAGTCAGGGGGTCCAAGTCAGCCTCAGTCATTAGCGAAATGTTCACATGCAATTCGACTGGAATTGCCATAGTTAAAAGAAATTAACGAAATTAACACTTAATTTATGTATTATTTCAACCCGTCTATTACCTAATATAGGCTAGATTTTTACAGCTTTATTTGTTATAAGCCCCAGTGTCTTTTCCGTAGTTGATACTGATGATTTTTTATTTTATTACCCTATTTACGTCACTAATAGTTATGAATACATAAGAATTTACTTTACTTAGCATTTATATTATTCAATCATCATTATAACATCAGACATGCATTGTTATTCTAAAAATATTGCTGGTATTACTGTTAATTTTGTTCATTTTGGATATTTTTAATTAATAACATCCATCTTGACGAAAATAATATGTACCATTATTATTATAATCAATAATGTATTATTTTTAGTATTGTATAACTACTGTTAATGATACTTTGAGTAAATTTTGGTATTGAATGAACTACAACAATCAGCTAAATGCATCAGTCAAGTACAACATCTCTATCGCTAATTTTCCTCCCGAATGCTTATAAACGAAAACTAAACTAAACTAATAAAAAACCAACATTATTACACACATTAACGGGCCACACAAGCAAAAAGAATTAGCATGGTAGTCCCTGGATAGATAGATGGTATTGTGTTGCCTGATAGACAGTGGCAGCAGATCAGCTGTTGGGGAAACTTGAGGATTTTGTGAAAATGTTGTCTTCCCTGGCCAAGACCCTCGCCTCGGTGTGTGAGCAGTGATATTAGGTGTTAATTAGTGCATCTTGGAGGGGAAACAATAATGGTGGCTACGAGGGTGGAGACATTCAATTCCTTGGATTAAAATTCCTCCCCCTCCCCCACCGGCATCAGGGAGGCAGACATGAATCATTATTTAAGTTATCTTATCTGAATTTATAGTTAATTGGGAAGCCAGGGCAGCAGCATAGACCTAGAAAGTCTTCATATAACTGACAGGGTTAAGAGGCACCTAAGTTCCCCCGTTTAATAATATGTTAATTTTTCCACTATAATCTACCTTGTCCATAATTACTATAACATTTATTTTGTCTCTTTCGTAAAGTGAAGTCCAGGATCTTTACTTAATTCATGGTATAACTCCACAAATGTTTGAGGACAGTTCCCCTCAAGGAAGGTTCCTTGATGTTGGTGAGGGGCTCTTGATTTAGGGAATTGGATCTGTGCTCCAGTTTCCCGAATTAAGCCTGAATGCCTTCCACATCCCCCCCCCCCCCAGGTGCTGTATAATCCTCCGGGTTTAGCGCTTCCCCCTTGATTATAATAATAATAATAATAATTTGAGGACAGTTGTGTCTGAGCAAAGTTGCAATATAATTATCCTCATTATTATTATAATCATGGGGGAGCGCTAAACCCGTAGGATTATACAGCGCATGTAGGGGGGATAGAAGGTATTCAGGCTCGATTCAGGGAACCGGAGCACAAATCCAATTCCCTAGATCAAGAGCCCCTCATGAGCATCGGAACCTCCCTTGAGGGGACAATTATCCTCAAAGATTTGTTAGGTTATACCATGAATTAAGGAAAGATCCTGGACTTCACTTTATGAAACAAGGTAAATGCAATAGTAATTATGGACAAGGTAGATTATAGTGGAAAAATGAACGTATTAGAAGACGGAGGAATTTATGTGCCTCTTAACCTTTCTATAATATCAATGTTGGCACAGCTCGGATTTTTCTTATCCCTAAGTAATTATTAAGGTTCTATTGTCAGAACTCCATTAACCTATAAACAAAAATGCATTTATTGCATGAGACTTGGTGTATTCTTTGTGTCTCATTTGAAAATTTTGTGTAGTTTCTAATAAGACACAAATTATTTTCTTTACTTTTTTTTCTATACATTCATCCATTCATGTTACATGACTATACACAAGACTAACATGAAGGAACACGAGTAGGTCTACTGGCCAGTAGGTCCAGCCCATATTTTAAGCTACCCAGAGTTCCTTTAGGGCTTCTTCTTAATTATAATAATAATACCCAGAGTTCCTGTCTCAATAATGTTAACTTGGGAGTTTCGTCCACTCATCCACAACTCTCACCAAACTTTTGCTCTGATATATTCCAAAATATAAATTTGTCCAACTTGAAGGTATTTCTGCAAGTCCTGTCTTGGGTATTTTCAGAACGTTGGTTTAAAAAGACACGTAAGCAAACACTAGGACGTATTTATTAGAAAACACTTTGGTCCCGGGACCTTGATCACTTATAACACACGAGTTACATGACCCGTTACCTACCTGTCCTCATTCCAATATGGCATTCTTAAGGTCACCATGTGTTGCTCATACCTCACCCCTCCTATATATACTGTACTGTCATTTTAGCCTCAGTATGTTAGTGATCAAGGACCCAGGACTGAAACATTTTTTAATAAATATGTCCTAGTGTTTGCTTATGTATCTTTTTAAACCAGTTTGTTGGTATCATTGTTTATATCCCCTTTATTCCTGTTTTCCATTTGCATTCATTTTTTTTTATTAACACACTAGCTGTTTTCCACCAAGGCAGGGTGACCTGATAAAGGAAGAAACACTTTCATCATTATTCACTCCATCAGTCTTGCCAGAAGCATGCGTACATTACATTTAAAAAACTGTAACATATCAACACCCCCTCCTTCAGATCGCAGGCACTGTACTTCCTTCCTCCAGGACTCAAGTCCAGCTAAACGGTTTCCCTGAATCTCGTTTTCCATTTGCACGCTTCATACCCTCCCTAATTCTACTTTACAGAGTGCATTATTGATTGGTTGAGATGTGCTTCACAACAAAAATAAATGTACTCTTTTTGCTAGTACAGTCAGCTCTCATAAAGTTCTTATACATAGTATGATTTGAATAAAGTGTAAGAAAAACTTGTCAGTGCTCAATGATAACCCATATGGAGACAAACTCGGAAGATAAATTGGTCTGTATAACTTAATTTTTCTCTTTGAGCAGAGTACCATGATAATTATTACATTCAGGGAAGACCCCTCAAGGGAGGTTTCTTGACGCTGGTGAGGGGCTCTTGATATAGGGAATTGGATCTCTGCTCCGGTTCCCTGAATTGAGCCTGAATGCCTTCCATTCGCCCCCCTCCCTTTCACGTGTGCTGTGTAATCCTACGGGTTTAGTGCTCCCCCATGATTATAATAATACATTCAAAGTGCTAAGCCTGTAGGGGTCATACATAACCTGGGGGAATGGGAAGTATTCAGGTTTGATCCAAGGAAGGGGAGGGCAGATCCAATTGGATGGATCATGAGTCCCTCACTGGCATCAAGGAATTTCTCTTGAGGACGAGCAGTACTGTACATGACATTGTGTAAGAGCCAGGCATAGGGTCTTGCATGCCCTCCTTGGTAGCAGTTTGTTTGCCTGTAAAGACACATTATCCTGGTATTCTTTATTTTTTCATTGATAGCAATAAGTTCTCCTCCATCCCTTAACAAGCATATACAGTACAAATCATGAGTTGCATGAGACATGGTAATTTTTTATTTAATCACAGGTGAGAGGTGTGCGCCACATCCACCGGAGTGCTGCTGCTTCTAGTGACGCCCTCTTTTCTGTAAGTACATACTACAGTAACTTTACACTTGTTAATTATTATAATTATTAATTATTATTATATAGAATAATTTTCCACATACCAACAGAACTACCAGAAACTCAAATTATAATGGACCTCAATTTAACGGGCTTCTGAAATGCAGGACAAAATCTACTAGGTGAATTTATTTGGAAATACAGTGGACCCCCGCTTAACGATCACCTCCCAATGCGACCAATTATGTAAGTGTATTTATGTAAGTGCGTTTGTACGTGTATGTTTGGGGGTCTGAAATGGACTAATCTACTTCACAATATTCCTTATGGGAACAAATTCGGTCAGTACTGGCACCTGAACATACTTCTGGAATGAAAAAATATCGTTAACCGGGGGTCCACTGTATTATGCAAAATCCATTGTCTGTTATTGTTATGCTCACAGCAAATCAAATCTTCTCTACATACCAGAATTTCCACTACCAACTACCTGCTTGCTCTGTTAGTCTTTTATATTGAGAGATTCAGTTAGGTTGATATTTGCCTTGTTTCTAATTGGTTGTATAATCTTACAGCATGTAGATACGCCCGAGAACAATGTTGACACTCCATTTGAGTTTACTCCAGAAAATTTAAAGGTGAGTGTATATGCTCTTAATAGTGTACAGGTGGTAAAATCTCAAGCTTGTGACTGGTTGGTTTTGGGTTCGTACATAATTTGGTCGGACTTTTTTGGGGGGTTATCCTTGGTAATTTACACACATGTTACTGTGTATGATAATTGTACTAATGTGGACCTGTATCTAAATGAACTTTCTTACATACTAACAATCAAAATATTTCTGTATGCACAGAATGTCCAGTCTGAGGGTTAAAGATTAGCATAGCATTAAATGCTGTTGATTTAATCATTAACTTAGTACATGATTGATTTCAGGTTTAATACTTGATCTTAGATACACAAAATTGTACTTTTTGTTTAATAAAAATCAATAGTACTATGCCAGATATATCTAACCAAATGGCTCAGGTTTGTATTATTTTTGTTTGATTTTGGCTTTGCTCATCAAATATAAGCATTGGGCTTGCTTAAGTGACAAATTTGTACTGGTTAAGATGCATTGACTTCGTATAATTGGTGAAATGCTGTATGTACTGTATTTAAAGCCAATTCCAGTTCCAGACTAATAAATAACCTATGCAGCAATTAATTTTTTTTTACTCCATAAACCTTGTTACCCATCTGTGCAAACATGTGTTTATGGTCATTTATGTAATTTTATTTGTTTGCATGTAGTACTGTACTGTGCTGTACTGTACTGTGTACATGAATTTTTTATGATTTTTTTTTACAGCGGGCAAAGGCAATTATGTCAATCTATCCAGATGGTCACAAAAAAGCGGCTGTTATTCCTTTATTGGATCTGGCACAACGTCAGGTTGGCAATTGGCTCCCAATATCGGCTATGCATGCAGTGGCAAGCTTGTTGCAGATGCCAAGAATGAGAGTTTATGAAGTTGCAACTTTCTACACTATGTTTGTGAGGTAATATTTTCTTCAAAATCTATAACAATTCACTTGTCAAGTATGTATAGGGTGCTGGGTCTGTGCAATGAACCCTTGATTTAAAGGACTTCAGAAATACAGGACAAAATCTGAGAACAATGGATAAAGTCTGTTGGTTACAAAACTGTCCATTATTGTTACGATGGCGAAATAATCCCATGTCCAGCCACCACAATCACCATCTGCCCTGCCTTAGTAGTTTGTTAAATTGAGGGTATACTGAGTAAATTTTTGACATGGCATGAATGAGTGATTTAACAGTTTTTAAATATAAATATTGTATTTTATCTCCAACTTTGAACCCCTCATGGGAGATTCCTTGATGTTTGAATATAATGATGGTATACAGTACCAACAGGTAGAAAAAGTAAGACACATGTGCATTAGTTAAGGTATCTTTATTCTGAAACATGGGTCCTACACAGTAGGCTTCATCAGTTGAATACATAGATTGCAAATGTGGGAACAGGAGAAGTAGGGAAAAGGAAATGATGTGATCAATCCATCTACCTTGAAGGAAGGAGTAGTTTGAAGTGGTTAGTCCCTTGGCCTGGAAAATGTGTTCATCTTCATAGTTTTGAACCATTATTTCAAGACTGAAGTTGAACTAATCTCTGGGTTGAGGGACTGACCACCTCATATTACTACTTCATGATAACATCATCATTACCTCTCTACTGCTTCTGCTGTCTCCATATTTGCAACCTCTGTATTCAACTGATGAAGCCTAATGTGTAGGCAAAATGTTTAAAAATTATAACTGTTGCGTATGCATCTTATTTACCCGGGTTCCTTGATGTCGGTGAGGAACTCTTGATCCAAGTGGACCTGACCTCTCTCTTCCCTGGATTGAACCCGATTACCTCCCATTCCCACAGGCACTGCATGATTCTTATGAGTTTAGCATTCCTCCCTGAATATAATAATAATGATAATATATAACTTTGTTTTTTATAACTTTGATGCAATTCCTCTAGAAATGTTCCCAAACAGCCAAAACTCAACAGAATCATCTATACCTTTTTTTTTTGTGTGTGTTTTCCCTATGCTTTCTTGGCACTTTTCCTATGTATTTGCCACTTTATCCTTTCTGTTTGACACTTAAAATGCCACTTGTTAGTGCTGTATTTTAATGGACTATGTGGACACTGTTTCAGGGACCCGGTTGGTAAATACCATGTCCAGGTATGTACCAACACCCCATGCTGGTTACGGGGATCGGATGACATTATGGCAGCAGTCCAGGAAAAACTTGGTATTAAAACAGGAGAGACGACAAAAGATGGCCTATTCACACTTTCCGAGATGGAGTGCCTTGGTGCCTGTGTTAATGCACCCATGATTCAGATCAATGATGACTATTATGTAAGTTTACCTTTGTTTTTAAAAGTAAGTGACTGTAGTCTACTGAGCCATATATGTTTTAGATTTACTTGTACTGTATACACAAGTGTTTATGTGTATTATTCAATTAAAAAATTAAATTTCTGTGATAAAACAATTGCATGGAAAAAAGGGCAATTCAGTATTATTGAAAAGAATTTTTCATTTGCTAGGCTGAAAGTTGCTTTTAGCTAAGGCCAAGCTTAACCTCCACAAGTAAACTTGTCAGAAATTTGGTTGTGGATCACTGAAGGTAAAGATGAATTCCTGATTATGTATTGTATGTAGATATGTTGATTATTAATTCATTGTTTTCAGGAAAACTTTTAAAAACATTAATGTTGAGTGAAAAATTAATTAGGCATACTTAATAGATGTAGCTGACAAATTCAGCTAAAATGAAATTGTGGTGGCATGCATTACCTATTCACATTAAAAAATTAAAGTTTGTATGGTTAGGTTTTATACAGTAGGGACAATTATAAGGTTTTCTAAATGATGGCTGTTTTTAAGGATGGAAGACTATGCATATGAGGTACTGTATATAAGGTCAAACTAGCTGGGTATTCCACGAGGAATGGAATGTTATAAAAGTCATTGTATCTTATTTATTGGAAGGTACAGAAAGGTATGCAAGAAAAAATATTGGACTCTTGATGGGTCACTGAAGATCTAATGGAATATCTGTATCAACACTAAGAAGAATTTGCTCACCCAGTGGTGTTCCTATGTATGCAAGACACTTAGATTGCTTGATGTAAGTATGTGATGATGATGCATTGTCATTCAAGTTTGTTTTTGTCCATATTTATTTTCTTACAGGAAGATCTTCAGGTATCAGATACACAAGAAATTTTAGATACTTTGGCTGCTGGGAAGAAGCCTAAAGCTGGCCCCCGAAATGGTCGCTTTGCTGCTGAACCCCTTGGAGGCCTTACCTCTCTCACTGGTCCCCCTCCAGGACCAGGTTTTAAGGTTTGTACTCGTCAGTGTAATCATCTTTACTCATCTTTATTCTAGAACAGCCACAGTAGTTTTTTTTTTGGGGGGGGGGGGAAGGGGGCTCTTACCTCTTGAGCTAACAAAACTGAATTATTTCTGTCCCCCCTGTATTAAAAATGAATAATTAGAATTTCATGTCCAGGAATCTCAATTTTCAGTAAATCATGATTGAAATATTGTATTTTAGTCCTAACTGCACAGGATAGTGACCAGTCAATCAAATTGGCATTTATTATTTCTGAGACAGGCCCTAGTATTGCTAAATATAATGGGACCTTTACACTCCTAGAAGCATTGCTTTCATAAATAATAGCATGGCAGAAGGCCTTCTGACCCATGCTATGCCGATTATGCTCTACCAGTCATACAGAACTCTTATTGCTAAACCATTTTGGAGCGAGTTAAACAAGTTAAGAAAGCCTAGGGAATGAATGGATTTGTCAGTTAAAAACAGAGTAGGGGAGTTAGTAGATGGGGAGATGGAGGTATTGGGTAGATGGTGAGAATATTTTGAGGAACTTTTAAATGTCGATGAAGAAAGGGAGGCGGTAATTTCATGCACTGGCCAGGGAGGTATACCATCTTTTAGGAGTGAAGAAGAGCAGGATGTAAGTGTGGGGGAGGTGCATGAGGCATTACATAGAAAGAAAGGGGGTAAAGCAGCTGGAACTGGCGGGATCATGACAGAAATGTTAAAAGCAGGGGGGACATAGTGTTGGAGTGGTTGATATTTTTGTTTAATAAATGTATGAAAGAGGGGAAGGTACCTAGGGATTGGCAGAAAGCATGTATAGTCCCTTTATATAAAGGGAAGGAGGACAAAAGAGATTGTAAAAATTATAGAGGAATAAGTTTACTGAGTATACCAGGAAAAGTGTATGGTAAGGTTATTATTGAAAGAATTAGAGGTAAGACAGAATGTAGAATTGCAGATGAGCAAGGAGGTTTTAGAGTGGGTAGGGGATGTGAAGATCATGTTTACATTGAAACATATATGTAAGCAGTATTTAAATAAAGGAAGGGAAGTTTTTATTGCATTTATGGATTTAGAAAAGGCATATGATAGAGTGGATAGGGGAGTAATGTGGCAGATGTTTCAAGTATATGGAATAGGTGGTAAGTTACTAAATGCTGTAAAGAGTTTTTATGAGGATAGTGAGGCTCAGGTTAGGGTGTGTAGAAGAGAGGGAGATTACTTCCTGGTAAAAGTAGGTCTTAGACAGGGATGTGTAATGTCACCATGGTTGTTTAATGTATTTATAGATGGGGTTGTAAAAGAAGTAAATGCTAGGGTGTTTGGGAGAGGGGTGGGATTAAATTGGGGAATTAAATACAAAATGGGAAGTGACACAGTTACTTTTTGCTGATGATACTATGCTTATGGGAGATTCTAAAGAAAAATTGCAAAGGTTAGTGGACGAATTTGGGAGTGTGTGTAAAGGTAGAAAGTTGAAAGTGAACATAGAAAAGAGTAAGGTGATGAGGGTATCAAATGATTTAGATAAAGAAAAAATGTGAATGTTTTCAGATATTTGGGAGTTGACGTGTCACCGGATGGATTTATGAAGGATGAGGTTAATCATAGAATTGATGAGGGGAAAAAAGGCAAGTGGTGCATTGAGGTATACGTGGAGGCAAAAAACGTTATCTGTGGAGGCAAAGAAGGGAATGTATGAAAGTATAGTAGTACCAACACTCTCATATGGGTGTGAAGCTTGGGTTGTAAATGCTGCATCGAGGAGGCGGTTGGAGGCAGTGGAGATGTCCTGTCTAAGGGCAATGTGTGGTGTAAATATTATGCAGAAAATTCGGAGTGTGGAAATTAGGAGAAAGTGTGGTGTTAATAAAAGTATTAGTCAGAGGGCTGAAGATGGTTTGTTGAGGTGGTTTGGCCATTTAGAGAGAAAGGAGCAAAGTAGAATGACATGGAGAGCATATAAATCTGTAAGGGAAGGAAGGCGGGGTAGGGGTTGTCCTCGAAAAGGTTGGAGGGGAGGGGGTAAAGGTTTTGTGGGCGAGGGGCTTGGACTTCCAGCAAGCGTGCGTGAGCATGTTGGATAGGAGTGAATGGAGACGAAAGGTATTTGGGACCTGACAAGCTGTTGGAGTGTGAGCAGGGTAACATTTAGTGAAGGGATTCAGGGAAACCGGTTATTTTATATAGGCGGACTTGAGTCCTGGAAATGGGAAGTACAATGCCTGCACTCTAAAGGAGGAGTTTGGGATATTAGCAGTTTGGAGGGATTTGTTGCGTATCTTTATACGTACGTATATACTTCACCCTGCCTCGGTGGGAGACGACCAACTTGTTGAAAAAAAAAAAAAAAAAAATATATACTTCTAAGCTGTTGTGTTCTGAGCACCTCTGCATAAACAGTGATTATGTGTGAGTGAGGTAAAAGTGTTGAATGATGATGAAAGTATTTTCTTTTTGGGGATTTTCTTTCTTTTTGGGGGTTTTCTTTCTTTTTGGGGATTTTCTTTCTTTTTGGGGATTTTCTTTCTTTTTGGGGATTTTCTTTCTTTTTGGGTCATCCTGCCTCGGTGGGAGACAGCCAACTTGTTAAAAAAAAAAAAAATATGGTACTAGTTATGTTATAATTTATTTTTTAGGTTCGTGATGATTTATGAAGTACACTATACATACTATGTATAACGGGACTGTGGAAGTCGGCATTGGCGATTATATCTGCACTGGTTTGTAAATGTATGGTGATTTTTGCAGTTAAATAATAAAGTTAGATTTCTGTAAATACTGTAGTAAAATAAAATTGTAATCAATTGATTTCATATTGTTTAGCCTGTGACAATATCATTAGTGTAAAGTATATTTTGTGACATCACTGAGTGAACTTCCTAATGATGAGTGCCTTGTTGCTAAAGTATTCATGATCCAAGGAATTGGAGCTTCCCTTTCTTTCCTTGGACCAAACTTGATTAACCCCCATGCTGTATGGATTTAAGTGCTTCCCATGAATACAATAATATAACCTTCCTCCCAACTGAATATTATTCAGAATATTATCCAGAAAGAGTAGCTGCAACAGGAATATATATCTTAAAACTGACCTAGCCTGATTGATGATTTTGAATGTCAACATCCAGGGACTGTTTAAAAATAAATTCAATATATAAGCTGAATGACCCATACAAGTCCAATATTTTGGGGATATAGTTACAGGATTCAGCACACTGAGAATGAGGTATATTCTTGATGGTGACAAGGGGCTCTTGATCCAAAGGGTTACATTGGATTTTTTTCCATACCCCTAGGCACTGTATGACCCCTATGGGTTCAACACTCCTTCAGTGAATGTAACAACAATGTAATTCCTGCTGCACCAATTTTTGAATTCAACTATACCTGTACATTTTGCCTTTGTAATTAATATTTCTGCCTCACCTCCATGCAGTGCTAAATGACTCCTGTTTAATACTTTATATGAGTGTAATAATGTGGTTAAAAAGTATTCCCAAAAACAAGGCACTATTTTATTTGAATATTTTGTACACATTAATGCAGTTTAACAATTCAGTTAACAATGATACAAGAAAATAATATTGTATAACATTGTTATAAAAATTTACACAATTTTGTTATGATATAGTTATGATTCACCTAATAAAATCTTGAATTAACTGAAGCCAATACTGGCCTGGAAAAGTGGATTTGAACATGAAAGACTCATTGGTACTTTCAGTAATCTGTAAATGAATTTAAATTTATTCACTTACTATATTACTATAATCATTAAGTGCTAAACCTACAAGGGTCTCACTATAATAAAATTTCAATCTGTATAGTAATCCATTTTCTACAAGTTCAATGATTAACTTGTCAACCAAACTTTTGGATCAAGCCTAAGTGCCTCCCATTCCCCAGATGCTGTATGACCCTTACAGGTTTAATCATTGCCCCCCCCAAATGATGATGATAATTGCACCTGCACTGTCTAAAAGTACTTACCATAAAAAGTGTATAGAAAATAGAATTAACCCTTAAACTGTTCAAACGTAGATCTACGTTCACTCGTGTAGCGCTCCAAACGTAATCTACGTTTTTTTACATGCTTTCTAATGGAGAAAATCAAGGTCAGAGCACTATGCACGTCAACGTAGATCTATGTTTGCACAATTTAAGGGTTAAATAGTAATGATACAAATTTATAGAGATGTAAGTACTAGACACTGATTGCCATGTGTCACACACAAATCTCTGATAATCTGCTATCAGCTAAGCACAAAAAAAGTTAAATGTTAGTCTATTAATTCCAAAAAAGATTATTTTTTTGTATGCCACTTTATAGGACAAGGAGACTCGTGTGGAGATAGAAAAAAATTAAAATGATGGTTAAGGTTATAAAAGCACGATGACAAACGTGCATGTACCCAATACTTACAGTACACGTCGTGCCGAATATGTAAAACTTGTGATCTTGCCATATAAGGCAAGTGAAAATTTGTGTGCGCAATAATTTCATGAAAATCACTCTGAGCCTAACAAAAAAACATATTTCACTGTGTTTGTTTATTATTAAATTACTGTAAACGTATCTAAAATGTTCATGTATTTAGTTGGATAAGGCTAAAATAAATTGTGCTTGTTATAATAAGGTTAGGTAAGTTTTCTAAGAGTCTTTTGGTGCAAAGTTATGAATTTGTACATTAACATAAATGAAAAAAATATATCTTTAAATGTATAAGAGAAAATTTTAGAAAGGACTTAATTTTAAATTAGTTCTTGCTAATTGACCAGTTTTACCTATTAGGCACGGCATATATATAATATATATATATATCCATCCATCTCCACCTGCATGTCTCATAAAAATGATTTATGTTAAGTACAGCATAATAAAAAGAAGTTGGATTTGTCATAAAAGATGACTAAAGTCAGAGTGCCTCCCATTTTCCAAGGCTCTGTATAACCCCTACATGTTTAAATGTTCTATCAATTAATGCTTGAACACAATGGACGTACAAACTTAAATTTCGGTAAGCAGGTTCACCATGTTGCTATAACATGAACATGTAAGCCACCAAAGTTCCTGAATGTAGAGAGCTGCCTTAGTTCGCTTCCCAGTCATCAGATTTGAGCCTTTTGATAGACACAATGAGACATATCTCATGAGAACCCACATATACTAGACAAACTGAAAATTATACTGCATAAAGTCATAACTTCAACTTTTGTCTCATCTTAGGTTTCCCACCAAGGCAGGGTGACCCAAAAAGAAAGAAAAAAATACATTCATCATCATCCAACACTTTCACCATCACACATAATCACTGTCTTTGCAGAGGCACTCAGATACGACAGATTAGAAGTCCCTCCAAACTGCCAATATCCCAAATTCCTCCTTTCAAGTGCAGGCATTGTACTTCCCATTTCCAGGACTCAAGCCCGGCTAATATATTAACACAGCCTCAATCAATATTTTACACAAAGTGACTTTCAAGCCTAACAGTACAAAGTATTGCATGTGGCCTTCATGGTTTACAAAAACTGCACATTATACAGCCCTGTGATGCAATCCTATATGTTATTACAAAGTTTGCAATTATAAATGTTCCATATTGGCTAAATATTCATTTCTGTTTACATTACGTAATAACTTGATATGACATATGACATGACTATTTTTGTTTCTAAATTCTAAATCATACAAAATGTTACTCAAACTATACAAATCATTCATAATTCTTCCATATCTATAAAAGTTAGGTGCACTAATTTCAAGCCCTATACAGATAGAGCAAGTTATTAAGTACCCCTCTCTCCAACTCTAGACACCCAGTTCTGCCTAATCATGCTCCGAAGACAATTTTTTCACATTAGACAACCCAAAAATGTCAAGTAATGTGACTTTATTATCAATTGGATCCTAGATTTCCACTCCTAGAATTATCCATAACGGTTGACTAACTTGCCCTAATCATGGGAGGTACATTCTGGTAACCTTCACACATCTTGTTGATTACACATTCTTATGTATTTTTTTTTTAAAGAGTAGCATCCTTCTGTATTTTAGTCTTTTTTCCCAACATTACTAATCCTCTCACTCTACCATCTTCCCTCAAAAGTGCCACCTTTAACACTGAGGATGCTTAAGATTTTTGTTTGAGACAACTTGGTTATATTGTCCTAAATTTCACACTCTAGTACTACCATACCCTTTCCCCATGACTGTCCTTTGCTTTTCATACCTGCAGTTTTATTTTCTGACTTGTATTCCCTTCCTTACAACACTAAATTACCCTCTAATATATGAAGTCATCAAATTTGTGCAAATACTCTACTTCTGAATGAAAATCCAGTAAACAGAAAATGTTCCAAGTATAAAGACTCGTGCAAATCTGAGTATGTTAGGTGAAAAGCAATAAGAGATTTTTCAATTGGCAACATGACTGGGCATGAAAACCATTAACATCTTCAAGTAAATGCTTGAGAAATGTAGCCATTGAAGATAAATATTGATTTTTGACTTGAACTTCTATAACATTTTAAGACAAATTAACCTAAAGATAAGAATTATTGTCGAGAAACCAAACACACATTATCGGAGCTCGGAGAAACATATACTGATACCTCCATGAGGATAGAAAACACATGCTGGTCTCATATAACAGGCACATAAAAAATATTCAAGTGAACACAGGAATCTTGGCATAACCATAACAGAGAAGATGAGCATTGAATCACATCCAATGTGTAATATTTTGTAAATTTGTCACCAAAAATGCTTCAGCCCTATGATTTTATTAAATGAGTAACATTTTGCAGCTTATAACTTTTATATTAAACATATCTTCATCTTAACATGAAAAATATAAACTGGAATGGTTAATAGTGGAGGAACAAAAAGCAAATAACATGGCCTACTCAAAGCCAAGCTGTACTAGCAGAGGGAAGATAACATGTATTTTAATCTGGTTTATAAATAATTTAACTTTTAAAATTCTAAGTATACCATGCAGGACATGCCACATGCGGATGGAAATCTTTAGCTCTAGATCTTTTGCACTTTTGTGCCTCATCAGAAGCTATGCAATGTTGAAAGACGGAACATATATGTAGCTCCTGATGATGCAAAAGATCTAGAGCTAAAGATTTCCATTCCCATGTGGCTTGTTCTGCATTGTTAAAATTGCCTGTTTGCAACTGTACTGTCTATACCATACTGGAATTTTAGTAGCAAGTGAAAACACAAATCACATTCTGACAAATGCTTTACAATTCTAACAACTTGATGCCAAAATCTGGTAAGTAAAATGAGGTAACTCAATTTTCTTTAACTGATAATAATCTGAAATTTTGCTGGTTGATTGACAAAAAAAAAAATGAAATTTCAAAAATAAAAATATTAGCCACTGATTACATACACATAAGCAGTCACTATATTTACTTCAAATAAAGTAAGGACAAGTAATACTAATTCTGGGAGGTGAATACAATATAAACATCTTTCACAACACTAAAATATGAGGACAAACACACAAGTTGCAGAATAAAACTGTTCTCAGTTGCAAAATATTGTTTTAATAAAAGTTTGTTCTGCAACTTATGACTCTTGTCTTCATACTTCCTGGTAACACACCATTTGGCTACCCTCACCCATGTCCAGTGTCTGGCTACCCTCGCCACATTCCCTGATGTGTCCAGTGTCCGGCTACCATCACTACACTCCCTGATGTATCCAGTGTCCGGCTACCATCACTACACTCCCTGATGTATCCAGTGTCCGGCTACCATCACTACACTCCCTGATGTATCCAGTGTCTGGC